TCTTTTATGAAATGCTTTGGTAAACATTGTTTTATCATGTTTTGTTTTGGGGAACAAATTCCGCAACTCTTTCAAATCAAAAGGATTTACTCTGAAATTATTTTAAAAGCATAAATGAAAATCGGTCTTTTCTCGCCGAGATTTTGGGGATGTCACAGCTGAAGCCTGCTATCAGGAAGGAATTACGTATGTGGACTCCAGGGGATCTGGGCCGAGCAATGGAATTAGCCCAACAAATTGAGGAGAAAAACCTAGCTAACAAACCCAGCGGGTTCGGGTCATTGGGTACTCGGACGGGCAGGCAAGGCAACCCACGAGCTTGGGAAAACTCACCATATACTCCTAACACGTCCACAACCAGCTTACGGCACCCCTCAGAAGAACGAAGACTGACTGAAGCTCAAATCAGTGAAAAACGATCCAAGGGATTATGTTACAAATGCGACGAGAAATGGCATCCGGGTCACAAGTGCAAAACCCTCTATAACATAATCTTAGTCAATAAAGAGGAGCCAACCCTAGAAGAGGAATGTGGGCATGAACAACCATTAGAAGGAGAGATCAATCTTCACATGACAGAAATCAAAAAGTCCATTGAAGTGTCCCTAAACTCCGTTTCTGGACTCTCCTCCCCTAAAACGATGAAGTTCCAAGGGGAAATCATGGGGCAAACTGTGGTGGAATTGATTGATCCCGGCGCCACTCATAATTTCATTGCTACCACCTTGGTAACCACGCTGGGATTACCAGTTAAGGATACCGAGCCCTATGGAGTCCGGATGGGTACGGGAGATAGTGAAGAGGGGCGAGGAGTCTGTCAAGGAGTGTTTTGACAGCTCTAGCAAGTCGATATTGTGGAGGAATTATTAACTCTACGGTTGGGAAACTCTGACATTATCTTGGGGCTCAAATGGTTGGAGACATTGGGGACAACTCAGACGAACTGGAAAACCCAAACTATGGAGTTCGATGTGGGGTGGGGGGGACAGGGTTAAGCTACAAGGAGACCCCTCCCTGAGCAAGTCCCCTATGACTCTAAGGGCTATGGAGAGGGAACTCAAACGCGAGAATTCGGGACTTATGGTAGAGTTATGCACTACAGAGGTTCAAGAAGCTCCCGTTAAGATGGTACCAACCTCTCTTACTAACCTCCTACACTGTTTCCACAAGGTGTTTGAGGAACCTGTTGGAATGCCCCCAAGAAGAGGAATCGAACACGCAATTGTGCTTCATGAGGGTACCCCTCCGATCAACGTTCGCCCTTACCGCTATCCGCATTACCAAAAGGAAGAAATAGAACGTATGATTCGTGAAATGCTATCTTCTAGGATAATCCAAACGAGTCACAGTCCCTACTCAAGCCCGGTTATTCTGGTAAAAAAGAAGGATGGCTTGTGGCATTTTTGTGTGGACTACTGTGCCCTGAATCGATCTACAAATCCCGATCATAGTGAAGGCCACTGATGTGTATAAGACAACTTTCTGTACTCGCGACGGGCATTACGAATTCAAGGTAATACCCTTTGGCTTAACTAACGCCCCCGCTACCTTTCAAGATTTGATCAACGAGATCTTCCGACCGTACCTCCGTAAGTTCATCCTTGTGTTTTTTGATGTATTTCTTGTCTATAGTTCCTCAGAAGAGACACATGTGCAACATCTTACGATTGCTTTAGAGAAATTGGAACAACATCAGCTCTACTTGAATCTCAAGAAGTATGACTTTGGGCAATCAAGGTTGTGTTATCTGGGCCATGAGATATCCTCAGAGGGCGTGAAGGATGATATTTCCAAGATACAAGCAATGATTGATTGGCCATCTCCAAAAAATATCAAGGAACTTTGGGGCTTCCTGGGTCTAACGGGATACTATTGTAAGTTCGTGAAGGGGTATGCTGGAATTGCTATTCCGTTGACTAAGCAGCTGAAAAAAGATAAATTTGGGTGGAATAAGGCAGCTGAAGAAGCCTTCCAACAACTGAAGGTTGCAATGACCACCGTTCCAGTCCTTGCCATGCCGGACTTTACGAAGACCTTTGTGATGGAAAACGACGCATCGGGCTTCGGTTTGGGAGCCTTTTTGATGCAAGATGACAAGCCAATAGCATACTATAGCTTCACCTTGGGACCAAGAACCCGATTGAAGTCCATTTATGAAAAAGAACTTATGGTCATTGTTAAGGCATTGCTGAAATGGAGGCCCTATCTCATGGGGCGGAAGTTCATTGTTCGGACAGATTAGGTCAGCTTAAAGTACCTGCTGGAGCAAAGGGTGATTGGCCAAGACTATCAAAAATGGGTCTTCAAAATCATAGGATTCAATTTTGACATACAATATCGGACAGACACAAGTTACAGGGTGGCAGATGCTCTATCCCGGAAGGAGGCGCCCGTTGACTGTAACACAATCACTATCGGCGTATGGAAGTTGTGGGAAAGGCTAAAGGAAGAAATCAAGAAGGATGATCTATTGCAAAAAATTACACGTGAGAAACAGGCAGACCCAACATCTCACAAGGACTTCACCATTTTCAGAGGCAATTTACTCTATAAGGGTAGATTGGTCATTCCGACCAAATCCACCTTCAAGGCCGATATCATCAAGGAATTCCATGACACCCTTATGGGAGGGCATGCTGGGGAGAAGAAGACCTATCAAAGAGCGATTACTGAGGTATTTTGGCCCAGAATGAAGAATGATATCATCAAACATGTCAAGGAGTGTCAAACCTGCCAACGAAACAAGACCCTCACAACCTCCCCAGCAGGTCTACTGCAACCCATACCTCTACCTGCTCAATCTTGGGATGAAATCACAATGGATTTCATCGAAGGACTGCCGAGATCAGAAGGGTGTGACACCATTTGGGTCGTGGTTGATAGGCTCACGAAATATGCCCATTTTGTCCCTCCGAAACATCATCACACTGCAGCCTCGCTTGCACACTGTTTTGTTAAAGAAGTGGTCCGACTTCATGGATTCCCTCTTTCAATAATCAGTGATCGAGATCGGGTTTTTCTGAACGACTTTTGGATGGAATTGTTCAAACTATACGAGGTGAACTTGAAGAGAAGCACAGCGTACCACCCCCAAACGGATGGCCAATCCAAGGTGGTGAATCGATGCTTGGAAACGTATTTAAGGTGTTTTTGCTGTGAAAAACCCAAGCAGTGGTCAAGGTGGTTGACTTGGGCAGAATTTTGGTACAATTCTTCCTACCATTCAGCTACAAAGTGTACCCCATTCCGGTTACTTTATGGTTGAGATCCCGCACCTATCATCCGGTATGAAGGCCAACAAACCCCTATTGATGCTATTGATGTCTTATTGGAATATAGGGATGCTATCTTGGATGACTTGCGGATGAATTTATTGAGGGACCAAAAGAAAATGCAACAACAAGCCGATCAGAAAAGGAAAGAAGTGCACTATCAAGAGGGGGAATCAGTCTACTTGAAGTTAAAACCTTACCGCCAACAGAGCTTGGAAAAACGAAAGTTTGAGAAACTATCATCTCGCTATTACCACCCTTATCAGATTCAAAAAAAGGTGGGAAAAGTGGCATACACACTTGAGCTGCCCCCACGGCTCTTATACATCCAACCTTCCACGTGTCATAGTTACGTAGAGCTTACGGGGCTGTGAACAAGCCAAAAGAACTGCCTGCCCAACTCAGTAAGGATCTTCAACTGTTGGTACAACCAGAAGTAGTGAAAGGGGTAAGATTGTCCAAGAGGAGCTCAACAAATGAGAGAGACGTCTTGATTCAATGGCAGGGATTGTCTGAAGCTGAAGCTACTTGGGTAGATTGGGAGAGGATGGACCAATAGTTTTCGGCTTTTCACCTTGAGGACAAGGTGAAACTGTGGGCTGCCGGTACTGATAAGCCCCCAACCCTTCTAGTGTACAAAAGAAGGAACAAGAAGCCCAAGAAGGATGCAGTCCAGTAATCGTAGAAGTCCATTTTACTTTTTTAAGTTTTTGACTTTTCTTAATTTATCTAGTTAGTTGTATCCGTTATGGTAGTGGCCTCACCATTTTGTTGATCAGTAGTGCACAACCACCTTTTTGGTCTGGTCTGGTGTGGTACCCCCAGTATTTATAGTCTTATTGTTCTTTCTAAAAGGCAGAGAAGAATATTGTATGAATTTTATCCTTGGAGAGCCCAATCCTCTCGAATGATTGGAACTATCAAAATTTGAGCTTTGCCTTCATCATTCTACTGTTCTATTGCTTGTGTTTGTGGTGTGGTTGACTAGGAGGATAACAATCTGATACTAATCTTTCGCTTGAGTTTCTATCAACCCCTTGGTTAGAGTGGTAGATGTTTAGGAAATATGTTTGAAATTTATGTTATATGTAATTTCTTTTTGATAATTAAATTTATGAGTTATTTAATGTCATTCAAAAATATCATATGATTGAATGTAAACATCAATCCCATTGATATAAATTAATTCATAATGATTATACTTAAAACAGATTATCATAAATCAAAATGCCCCTACATAAGTTTGGTGATTGTGTTGGATTCTTGTTTGAGGGGTGGCCGGGTGGGTTATTGTTTAATAATAATAGTTATTATCATTGTAATTATAATTATAAATTAATAATAACTACCAACAATAGTTATTAATACCACATCACCAATTGAAATGCTAGATAATTCGTTTTTATTTTCTAATACCACATGAGAAAAACAAACCTGCCTAACACACCTAGTGGGGATGATTTTTCTTTATTAAAATACAAACTTTTTATGGTTAGATAATAAAAGAAATTCTATAAGTAGTTAAAAGACCTTTTAACAAATACCCATACACCAATAAACGTCAAGTCAATTTGATTTTGTACACGCATCTCTATGTGGATGTTTTCCCCTTCTACCCGAGATAAAATAATGCCCACATCAATATTAAGAATGTTTCAACATATCATTAACAATTCTAAACAACATACACAACAATTATTAAAGGTATTTTTAAAAGCATAGAATAAACCCACTTTCTTGCATTATTCAAACATGTCACATTATTCCAAAAAAAAAAAAAAAATCTCTTTGTATATAATGCCTCCACCAGTTAATACACAAATCCACTAGTCAACAAATAAAAAAATTATCCCACAAATTATACATACAAAAATAAATGAATTAAGCTAAATAAATTCATATCTCAAACATTTTTCTTGTATATGAACGAGTTGTAACCAATATAACCCCGGAATGTGAGGGTAATAACTATACACGAATCGTAGTTATTGACAAAAAGATTAAAAAAGAGTCAGAGATTAATAAATCACCGCCTCTTAAATCATTGGATAGGACAGGACTGGACAGAACAGGACAAGACTGATACAGATTAACGAAAATTGTTGGATGCATGAATCATTGGATTATATTCACAGGTTCATTTTGTGATGAGGGATGAAAGCATTCCTCTGGATTTGCATAGAAGTAATCTTCTTCTTTGGGTTTGTCTGGAATCACCAATCTTTTTGTGGGGTTACCCATGCGATTTGCATGAGCATCTTTCACAGCATTTGAGAATTCATCCCAATTTAATAATTTACTTGTGTATTTGTCTATCAATTCAACAAGTAATCTTCTATCCAATAATATCGTCTTCTTGAAACCCAAATATCTGTAAAAGAAAAAACATTCAAGATTCTTGAATTGTTATAAAGATTTGTTTTTGACTAACCCCATAAAGTTTCAAGGAAAAAAAATGAATTTTTATCAAATACCTCCGATGACCTTCAACAACTTTGGCCATATTTCCATCAAAAGTAGGGACAAAAATGTCACTTTCCAGTGATACAAGATAATCCAATGCTGCCATTTGAGACGAGTGGTTCTGAAAAAACCCAAGCTCATCTGCTCCCAAAAGAGTCTCTTTTCTCACCTGTCATTTGTAATATAAATTAACCTAAACAAAAAAATAAATAAATAAAGAAAGAAAATCTTGAAATTGATTTTGTTATTTTATAATTTATATACTACAGTAAATTAATTAATTACTAACCAGATTTGGATAGGTGGATTTAAGACTAGCCATTCTTCTTTCTCCACCATATATTTCACCAGCAGCAATGTAAATCTGGATGTCACTATTTACCCCAAGTGCCCTTAATGCAAGAGAAGTTTCTTCAGGAGTTAAAGGGCATAACCCGTCTTTTCGTTTTAATTCAGAGTTTATAATCTTTTCTTTCCACCAAGGGTAAGCATACCTATCAAAAAAAAAAAGCTATAAGAAAAAGATAACAGATGGGTGGTGATGGTTGGTCAAAGTCAAAAAGTCAAACCTCATTCTAGTCAACTCTTCCACTTCTTCATCATTGCATCCTTGAGTACACCCAGAAAATGCTAACATGTCCATTTCATATCTGAGGTGAAGGACTAAAAAAGGTCCTTTTTGTTTCAAAAGATTCACAACTCGTTTACCCAGTTCTTCAATTTGACTAGTGAATCTCAAAGCACTGAAATTTACTCGACATCTGAGTTTTTGAAGGTCAAAGGGTTGACCACTATTGGCAAGGCGAGCATCCGTTCTATTCAAATGCAAAACTTTGAATCTTTGAATCAAAGGAAGAATCTATACATATAAACACAACAAATTTTCTTGTAAACTTTGTGAATCGATATATAAATTATAACTTATAAATTTATAAATAAAATTATACCTGGTTGTGGTAGTATGAAATATCAGACCAACTAATGGGAGGCATGGTGTGTATGAGTCCTAATTCCACTCTCTTTTTAAGCCTAATTGGAAGCTCTTTAAGTATCCGAACTTCATCTCTCAAAGATGTTATGAAATGATCAACATCAAAAATGTCCTCAAACTCACTGCCATTTATTTAGTAATAACAACAATAAGTCAACTAGTCAACTGTCAAGATTGTTTATGCAGAAAAGTGAGAGAATATGGCGTACCTTGGATCAGCCCAGAAAGAAGATTTGTCCAATTCAGGAACAATGAGAGTAACATTCAAGTATCTTGCGATTGCAACCATGTCACATATCTGCATATGAAGATATAATTGAAGTGAGATGATCAATTTATTTGTTTCTACAAGAACCAATGATTATTCGTGTGGGATCAAGTCATACTGAAAGAACTCACAGCAGATCGCATTTGATTTAATCCTCCATTACATGAAATCAGTAGGTAACCATTGTTCTTGTAAACCCCTACATACAAAATTGCACATTAGGACAAAAGAAAATTGGTTATGACAAGAGTTATAACACAGTTATCACTAAAACAACAACATAATCACCAAAAAAGCAACAAGTTAGAAGAATAAAGAACTCACTCTTGGGTGGAAGAACTCTGGCAGGAACAATGGGCAACAATTTGACATCTAAAGCAGAAGCAGAAAGAGTCTCACGAGAAGGCCAGCCTTTCAAAACCATAGGCCCCCATGTATCTCCTAACGCCGTCAACTGAACCAAACAAGTCCACAACAACACCGCTGTCGTGGCCCTGATCATCCACAGCTTCGTTTTAGAAGATTTTGCGTATGAATTTCCCGTCAAACTCTTCAGTTTTTCTACTTTACTATCTCCTAATCCTTTCAATTTCATGGTTTCAAAACCATAAATCACCTGGAAACCCTAACATTCCATCACAATAATCTATATACCACACAGGAATTCGCTATATTGACGACTAAATAAATGAATAAATACGTATGAGTTATGAGATATCGTTATCGAGATGCACAATCTCCTAAATAGAAGAGAGGATTGATGATTTGATTCCACAGTAAGCTACCGAAAGAGAAACAGCATTTACCACTAATTCAGTTTAAAAATCTCAGAACAAAATGTACCAAGATTCATTTCCTCCAATAACATGCAACGAAACCGTAGCTTTTCAATAACACGTTCCTGAAAGCAAAGTGGATCTCGAAAAAAGTCATTTAAGAAATTTCATTTTTGACTAAAATTTCAACAGCTACTCTGAACAGCAGCAGATTACAGCTAATCGAGATCGTTTTCGAGAAGAAACAGTGTTGATGGTCCTTGTAGCTTGGAACCGGCAATTAACTACGGTAAGAGATGAAAATGTCGCCGGAATTAGAGGGCGTCGGTTGCCGGCAAAGAATAACGAGAGAGAGAGAGAGAGAGAGAGAGAGAGAGAGAGAGAGAGAGAGAGAGATGTGCTTGTGATGTGGAGCTGCTTTTTGTTATTTACATACTCTTTCAACTTTATTCTCTTTGGAGTTTTATGGTTTTTTAACGGGCAAATTATTTATCTTCAACAGCTATATTTATCCTCAGAAATAACAATTTTTTTCTTTTTTGGAAACGTGACATAAATATAGAATACAAAATATTTTTTTTATAGCAACATTTGTGTGTCATTACTACTCCCTCCAAATTTTCTTTGTTTTGAGGTGTAGGTTTTAATATTTTGCATTCCGATTTTTTGTTTTTCCAAGATTTTAGTTGTGTTTAGATTTAGGAATGATTTTAAATGTATTTATTGTTTATTTGAATTCAAAATAGAGTTTTTTTATTTGATTTTAGGGCTTTCTAATTCTAGCTTCTTCCATTTAGATTTTCTTATAATCGATTTATTTTTTTAGTTTTTAGACTTTGTATTGTGGTGGTGGTGCTAAGTGGTGGTGTGTTGTTAACAGTGGAGGATGATAGTAGTGGTTGAACATTAGAGATATATTTAAAAGGACATTTAATATTTTTATCATGAAATTTAATAGTATTTGAACAAAATTAAACAAAAATTATTTAATGCAGATTATAGAAATGATAAATAAAATAAGAAAATGAATTGCTAATAGAAAGTTATAATAATTATTGAAATTACATGTTAATGATTATATTTTATTAAAAATAACTCTAAATGGTGATAGAATTACAAAGTTCAATCCAAAATTTGCAATGACGATTGTATGATATATGTTGTACCTTATTAAATACGGTCAAATAGAAAAATTAAAAATTTGATCATAATTTCAAAAAAATATATAAAAATTAAGTAACAACATCACTTCATATAAAATGTAGTATTTTAAATATGAATACGTGAGGATTCGTTAAGTAAATATATGGATCGGCTACATTATTACTTAAGCATAAATATTTGAAAGTGCATTAAATATTACCTAAAAATAAAGATAAATCATCATATATTTTCTTCTTTCTCATCCACCTATCCATATTAAATGATAACATATGCTACATTTAACATTATTTAACACTAAAAAGATGATGAGTAGAAAGAAAATGTAGGAGAGTATTTAATTTCTCAAAATAAATTTAAATAAAGGCTTGTCAAAACGAGAGGCCAAGCTTTCAACATGTATTATTATGATATTTTATGGTTAAACATTTTTCATGATCATTTAAAATGAAAATAGGATATTTATTATTTTCTCATGCTAATAGTTTAATGAGTTTACGGTGATTGTGGTGTTTTATGATATGATTACATATTTAGATGGTAATTTTTATCATGCGAAGTTGCATGCTAAATAACCTTAAAAAGCTATGTTAATCATGTATATGTTTGAGTCAAGCAGAGTTGGTCCATAAGCATAGGCAAGTAGACTAATTAATGCCCCTATTTTGTATCGTGAAATTTACAAATTACGTATGCAAAATAAAAGAGGGCAACTAGTAGTAATAAAGATGCTACCAATCCACTAGACAACACAACCCCAATACTAGCAAAAATAAATGAATAACAGGTACAAAAAACAAGCGTAAAGAACCAAAAACCAAAAATTAATAAGATTAATACTAATACTAATGAACTCTCAAGATTGCTGATAAAAACTCAAAAACCAACATGAGTGTTTTGAGAATATTAGCATCCGGTAATAAAAAAAAAAAAAAACAGTAATATATATCGTGTACAAACATGTAGTTACATCTTTTTCTTTAGATACTCTTAACAAAATATTAATAACAATATGATAACAAAACTTATGATCTTATTGAATAACTAATTTAACAAGTAAAAAAGGAAAATGAAATCTTACTAATGATGACAAGACATGAAGATCCCTTTCGCATGTTTGAAAAATATATTCTTGAAATATTGATAGAACATATGAACGACTTTGGAAAATGTAGTAGACAATCTAAAAGAAAGTTATCTGGTTAAGCTACCTTCATTTTCCGTCTAATCTATGTGGCTTTTCCTCCTTTTTTTTTTTTTGGCTCCTAATTTCTTAGCATTTAATACCTAAACTGATATTGATTTACCGATTCAAACCATAAGCTATACAAACAGTGGGCCTAAATTGATGCCCCTAGATTCTTGATGCCCTGGTCGCCTTATGCCTATATCAATCCTGAGTTTTGTTGTCCAAACACATTGAGAGGTTAAGGAGTTAAAAGAGTAAAGACACCTTGATAATTCTAGATAGTCTTTGTTTTTTTAAAAAAAAAAAAAAAAAAGTAGTCTTTTGATTAGTTACGCTAGGTTGGTGCATGTGACACGTTGGTAAAAAAAATAGAGCTGATAAAAATTGATCCAACCTACCAACTCGGGTTGATATTTTCAATCCATTTAAGTTAAATGAATCAATTCGTTTAACCCACCAACCCATTTAACTTTAATTTTTATTTGATTTAATAATTATTTAAATATTATCATGTATTAATCTTTGTATTAGTTTATATATTACAATGTGTGTATTATTATTTATATGTTAAAAAAATGGAATCATAATTCTTTTTTTTTTTTTTTTTTTTTTTTGCACTGATAATACTAATCACTCTTTAAAATCACTTAGAAATTACATATCTTTAAAGTTATTTGAACAATTTCATTGTATATGTAAATTGGGATTATGCTTCTGTGATATTTTGAAATTTCATTTACATCTATAACTAATTTAAGTGGTATAACTTTCAGTTAATTTATTTATTTATTTTTATTTTAAATGGATCAACCCAAGTTTAACCCACTTATTTAATAGGTTAGGTTGGAAAATACATAAAAATATCAAACCGGTGACAACCATTTATCTAAAATGTTAGGTTGGGTTGATAACCCATTTAAATAAATAGGTTGGATTATAATCTTCAACCCAATTAATAAATTGATTGAACCCGAACCCACTCCAGATTAACCCATTATCAGCTCTAAATAAGTTTTTTGAAACATTCTTGTATCATTTGAGGTGATCATGTTTACGGGAGAGACGGAAAAGGCAATGAAGTCGTGCATGTGCCATTAGAGTAGCTCCCTCCCATGATTTATGAGTTTTCTGATGTTTTTTTTACAGTTTGTTAGATGATGATTAAATGCAATGTTTTTATTTGAGAATTTTAATTTACAAAGAGTTTATTTAAAATGAGTTTATCATGAATCAACTCATTTGTATCTCACCAACTTTGACGCGTGTCTGAAGTGATGTCTTTACAGACTTTTGAAATACTAATTGTTTTGAAAATATTTTGGTGTCTGACCTATAAAATAACATTACGGTAGAAGTAATTAAATATCTGACGTATAAAATAACATCGTCTTTGTATACCATGTGTGAGCAAGTAAGTACTTGGATTCCTATTCTTTTTTGCATAAAATATTTGAAGAAATTGAAAGCGTCGGTTATATGAACATCAATGAAGGTTATGAAAAATACAAAAAAAAAAAAAATACAAAATACAAAATACAAAAACAAAAAACAAAAAAGAACCAACTTGATAATAACATAACATCCTAAACAAAAACAAATCACCTGGAATACAAATCTGTCATTTGGCTTCATTCACCCGCCCCTCTTTCCTTCTGCAACAATAATGTTTTCAAGTCAATTTGGATTTTTTTAACAAATTAGCAGGTCAATCATTCAAAATCAAAAGTCCGTTTTCAATCCGAAACCGATTTATAAAATTCAATTTCATTCATTCTTTCTTTCTTTCTTTTTTATTGAAAGACCAAAATACAATTATTACATTCGCATTGAAACAAATAAAATAAAATTCAAACTTTATTCGATTTTTATTAGCGAATTTCCAATTCTTTCAGAATCCAATTCCCTTAGTAGTCGTTTGGTCAGCATAATGTTTTTAGAAGGAATAGAATCGGTCAAAGAAGAATGGAACTCCACAGACCATGGAATGGAATCTGAAGGAATATGATGAAAAGGAATTCTGTCTATTTGCCATGGAACAGAATCTACAATTTCATTCTCTTTGAGAATCCATGAATTCCAAAAAATAAGCAATTTACAAACTAACCCCCCTAACTTTAATTAACTTGACAACATTATGCTAGAATCCAATAATATTAAGAAAAAAACTACATCATCCTTACCAGATTATAGTTTGTCAAAATCATCATCATCTAACCCGTCATCATTTTTGTCATCTGAAAATACAAAAATAAGTCATCAACATAATAATAATAAATAATAATAAAAAGAAAAAGAAGAAGAAGAATCAACATACCGTGTCCATCATCACTGTCACCAAGATCGCCCAAGAGAAAGACATCCAAGTCCTGGTCAGCAGTCTTTGAGGATGCGGTTTTAGTCTTGTGGTTTTCTGCTTCTTCTGTTTTAGAAGAAACACTTTCAGCTGCAGCTGTAGCATCATCCTCCTTCACCTTTTCACCACACTTTTTCTTCTTCTCCTCTTCTTCTTCTATGTATCGCTTTTCATAACTTTAGTCATATCATATCAAATTTCAAAACTCAGGTAACTGCCTTTCAACAAAAAACATTTTCTTAATTCTTATAGACTACAAGTGGAAAGTAACTTACGGGGTTAAATGGGTATTTACTAGAAGAAAATATATCCTCCAGAATTTTCGTTCTTTCATCACCCGTGGACATAAATCATACCTCAGCTTTGAAATTTCCTGCAATGCCCATATATAGTGAGTAAGAGAACAAGAGAAGAGAGTTGGATTTTTGTTGGAATATGGATAGCTCAGAATTTAAGACATTTGTAAAGATTAAAAGAAGAACGATTGCTGGATGCTTTATTGTAGTTAATTTTGTCAATTTTTAACTTATATTTTTCAACAGTATGAAGTCAAAGGCTGGAAAATTTTGTCATCAAGTATTGTTCTTCAAATACCAGATAAGTTATAGTGTCTTGTGGTGCTACATTGCTATGTTTGGGATTTCATTTTGAAGTTAAAAAGGACTTATGAAGGTGGGAAAATGAGTTTTTAAATAAGTGTTTGGATTAGCTTTTTAGTGGGAAATTGTTTTTTGTTTGTTTTTTTATCCTAATAAGTTACAAGTTGTTTCAAAAAGTCACAATTTGTTACTTCTTGAAAACTCCTTTTCACGAGGTCTGTGTTCTCAATTTTCAGTTATTCTACTGCACACCAGAAGAACTCTAAATGATCTATTTCATGCAAGTTCTAAACAAAATGTCATACTTTAGCCATTTTTCTTACACCTAATTGCAAGATTCTAAAAGCAAACTTTTTAAACTTGCAAAATCACTATTAAGGCAATAACACAAAGATCACTAAAGTTGATTACTATCTTGTTTCAAAATAATGGAGTGAATAGGTATAGGTGGACATGGAAACGAACAATCTATGCCTTAAGATAACAAAATATGATAAAATAAGCAACAGGGTATCTGGTAGGGAATTTCAGTATGTAAAAAAAATAAAAATGTGAGTTCATTTGTATCTTTTTCACATGATGTTATTCTCTGCTATCAAAAGGATTTAGGAAGTTACCTTTACAGCTGAGAGAACAAGTTTAGCATGTATTTCTTGCCACTTTGTAAGATCCTGCCGAACATTTGAGATCGTAGGAATATCAGATATTTGTGAGTCATCTGCACATCATAAACATAAACTACTCCAATTATAACCATCAAACAAATTAGAACTTTGAACAGGTTTTGAAATATACATAAGCATTGGAAAATATCATACATCCGTAACATGTCTATATAAGCACACTTCTGTCAATTTGTATAATTCAGTTCCAAATTTCTAGAACATTTGCTACCTACCATTTGACAAGATCACATATTCCACTACTATCTTTAGGTGTACCTTGTTCTTGTCAGTTCTGAGATATTATCTAAGGCTTACCAGTTTGGTCCCTGTAAATTCAATGAAACCAAATGTTGGAACACCCAACCTCTTCTAGACTGAACAACTGAATCACATATATGTCTTTAACATGCTTCTTCGTTTGAAGAATTCTATAACTCCCAACAACATAGAAATACGTACAGAGATGGCAACATGAGTAATGGCTTTATTAACTATAGCTGATTTGCTGTGATTCCTATAGTTGCATAATATCTACACTCTGACAGTTTTGTGGATTACTCACCTCTTCTGGAAGGTATACCAGATCATAAATTTCGTACTTCTCAGTACACCAGAGCTGAACTTCACCATTTGATAATGTTAAAAGAAATATATCACAACTGAAAGACATTACTAATTTTGACAACACCATTACAGCTCGCCATACAGGGTATATACTATTAATCGTGATGCATCTCTACGAGGCACTAAAAAGGCTCAAAAACCCTAGAGGGGAAACAATGTCACACCGTGATAGAGTCGGAAGTCCTGAAGGTTCTCAAATCATGTACTAAGCATTCTCCAAAACCTATAACTAACTTCATTCTTATATGTATTTCATACAATACGCATGCTTTTAACTAATAACTGATGCAGGCGTACCTTATTAACTGCTTTACTTACCTTCTAGCGGGAAGTCTCGAAACGTATTTATAGTAATTTCCTTCACAAACTCTCGCAGCTCTTCCGTAATTCCAAACTTCTCGAGATCCGCAGGGGAAGTGCCCCCAGGCTGCGCTGTCGCAGAAGAATCGACAACGAGTTGCGAGATTGCGGCAGAAGTGGAAGGAATCTGAGACTTGATCTGATCTGCACGTTTCAACGCTTCGACCTTAACGAAATCAACCTTCTTCGATGCCTCAGCAGCGATCTCCTTAGACCGTTTCGACGCCTCCAGGACGATGTCAGAGAGCTTCGATGATCCAATGGTGAATTCCTGTGATCGCTTCGCGGCTTCTTTTGTTAACTCTTGCGATCGCTTCGCGGCTTCTTTGGTTAACTCCTGTGATCTCTTGGCAGCGTCTTCAGCGAAGGTGCGAGCCTTTTGCCAGAAATCCATGGCGAATGTGTGAATCGTAAGAGTTTTGCTGGTTGTTTTGATGCGATTGAATATGGTGAAGATGAAGGAGGGACAGGGGAGTGGGGAAAGGAAGAATCGAGTGTAGTGGTATGCACGTTATGAAGTATGGTGCCGTACGAATTAAGCTGTCACGTAGCAAAAAGTCAAAATTTTGACTGCGTTGAGAGCCGTTGATTGATATAGAGTAAATTACACTCTTAGTCCATGTGGTTTGCTCAGCATAACAGTTTAGATCCTAGTATCATAAAAATAACAGCATTGATCCCTATAGAGATTTTTTGTATCATTAGTGGTCCTCCCATCTAACAGCCTTAACAGATGGTTGTTAAATATTTAATAGGGACAAAAATACCCTTCTTCCATCATCACTCACCCACCACCATCATCACGCACCTATCACTATTATCCGTACCACCACTTATAGACACCATCAACAATCTCAATTCTGATAATAAAGGGGACACACCACCTATAAACGTCCCAAAAATACTAAGAAAAATTTTTGTTTTAAATAAGTTAAAACCATTCATTCTTTATCCTAAAAGACAATCAGATTAAAAATTCTCAAAACATCAAAATAAAATTATAAACAATCAATGCAGAATAAATCTATGGGGGATACAATGTGATCAAACCGACTCTTCCTTTTGAAACCAGATATACCTAGGAACATATTAAACATAAACCGTGAGCACAAAGCTTAGTGAGTTCCCCCAAAATATCACATACCTTACATACATATCGGTTCGAAATTGTAACGGATCTATTTCACCTCCGAGTCTATTTTAACTCCCCCAGTGATTTTCAGCCGAACGGGTCTCTTTCATCCCCGAGTCTATTTCAACTCAATCGGTGTTTTTCAACCGAACGGGTCTCTTTCACCCCCGGGTCTATTTCAACTCAATCAGTATTTTTTAAACCGAACATGTATATTTTCTCCCCTGAATTTATTTCACCGCACATACATAAAACATACCAGCACATCAGCAAGAGTCACAAAGACAACAAGCACATACATGCATATTAGCAAGTGTCACAAATACAACTATCATTCTACAAACATAATCTGGTGGGTCGACATTGGTATCTTCGACCCACGAGTACAATGAAGAGACTCACATGAACCACTCGACAAAAGTTCAACAGTTACCTCAGCAACGGAACAACCAACACAAGTTTCATAAAGCCAAACCGAAACTAACCCTTAATCAAATACTCAATTCTACCCAAATTTGACCAAAAGTCAAATTGATCAAAAAGTCAATGGTCAAGTCAACGCAGACAACCCCCACGTCGTGGCAATTCCTTTGTCACATTGTGGTCACATCCAAATAAAATAGATGCGATAAGTCTTGTCACCACGTCGTGGGCCTCCTTGGCCATGTCATGGCTACCGATCAGATTTTTTTTTTCTTTTCTTTAAGAGCTTAATCCATAAAGAGCAAAACTCATAACATCAGATCTAATTCTTAATAGCTTCATAATGGATAAAGTTTCCAAGTTTATCCATTTAAATGGTCCAAACAAAAAAGATCTAGTCTTTAAGTCTCAAAGGGACAAAAAATGCATCTTTTTTTAACTTAATCTATAAAGTCCAAGTCTCCAACCTTCAGATCTGGGATCAACATGATATTTAGATGGATAAAGTTCCCAACTTTATCCATAATAATATCTCAAGATTTCAATATCTAAACTTTAATACACCAAAATGACCTAAAGGACCAAGATAACTTGCATGATTATAAGTAAAGGTAAGTAGAAAAACTGTGTACTCATTTTCGAAATCGGAACCGCCTTGGAACCGCCGGTTCCGAAACCGGAACCGTCTTAATTGGTTCTGGTTTCGATTACTAAATTTTTGGAATCGCGTTAAGCAGTTTCGGTTCCAAATCTTATTTTCTCATAATTGTTAATCGTTAGGTACCCGTTGGAACCGGTATATATATATATATATATATATATATATATATATATATATAGTTATTCCAATTAACAGGTAATCCCTTTTCTTTTCTTTTTAACTAGAGGGTGTGCCCTCGCGTTGCTAGGGGTCGAAATTTTTTTTATTGTTTTATTGGTTGTTTCAGATTTCATAGTTTGTATTTGTTTATGGGATAATTTTTTATAATATACATAAGGGACGAAAGTTAACAAAATATAGAAACTATGATGGTTAGATGTTGAAAAATGAAAATTAATATTAGAGAAAAGACCAAAACTGCCAAGTTGTAGAAAATATTATGGCTTATTGTAATTAATATTAGAGAATGGACAAAAAGTATCAAGTTGTAAAAAGGGACGAAAGTTGACAAAATATAGAATCTATGGTGGTTAGATATTGAAATACAAAAATTAATATTAGAAAAAAGATTAAAACTATCAAATTGTAGAAAATATTATGATTTATTGCAATTAATATTAGAATATGGACCAAAACTACTAAGTTGTAGAAATTATTATAGCCAAATAGTATGACATTAAAGAATAAGGGACTAAAAATATTAACATGATAAACAATTATTGCCAAAGTTTGAAAGAGAAAATTTTACTATTAAAAAAAATCTAATAAGAAATTCAATAGACAAATTACTTTTGATTGTTTCTTATATACGAAGTTTGCAAATTTGATTTGTAAGCAAATGATTAGGAAAAAGATATATGATCAATTATATATATACATTTGATTAGGAAAAAGATATATGATATATATACACGTATAAAAAGATATCTAACAAATGTATTTTTAGGCAAATGATTACTAAATTTCGTTTGTTTACATCCCACATTGTTTAATATACGAAAAAGTTAATGATTTATCTCTTTTACAAATGTGATTCGCATCCCCATCACTTGGTAAGCAATGTAATGACTTCCTTGCTTCATAAAACAAGATGAAACTCAATTCTTTCAATCGAACTTCATAAGGCCCATTATCAGATGGGCTGCTATTTAAAGAGCCAGGACCGAGGTTAATTCGTTTATTTTAAAACCTGGTTTTCAAATAGTTTTTAAATATGTTTTTATTAAACATATAATTAAATCCCAATACCATATAATTAAATCCCAATACCCTTAGCAACATGCCTGCGGTAATAAATAAATAAATAAAAACCTTTTCTTTTTACCTTTATTTGCTTCTCCTTTTTAGTGTATATCTTTATTGATTTGTTATCCCCTTATTCTTTCTTTTTTAATAGTTCATAAAACGAAGAATTGAATTGATGCCGGTAGGGATGTTAATGGGAGCAAACGGGACGGGGAGCGCCACCGAAATTTCTCCGTTCCCCATCCCCGCCCCCGCCTCTGAAATGTTCAACATTCCTACCCCCGCCCCCGAATCCCCTTTATTACCCCCACCCCCACCCCTGCCCCCGTCCCCTCGCCCCCGATTGATTTTGGGTTGCCTTTTTTTTTTTTGCTAAAAGAAGTTGTTGTGTAGGCTAAAATACGCTATTTTTTAAGTAACAAATAATTATTTATAGCAAAATTTTATATGTTAAAAATAAAAAAGTTATGACATCTTAAAAACATTATACTAACAACTTAAAAACATGTTTTTGATGATTTTTGGAAGCTCAAAATCATGCTATTGTTTATTATATTTATATAATTAATATATGTAAATATATATGTAATTTATTAACGGGGTCCCCATGGGGGTTTCGGGCGGGATTGCCTACCCCCGCCCCGCCCCCGAAATTAAAACGGGGGTTAACCTTGCCCCCGCTCCCGTCCCCCACCCCCGATATTTTTTCAAATTTTCATCCAGACGTGATGGGGCCCCATGGGAACGGGGTCCCACGGGACTTTTTGACATCCCTAGATGCCGGACTAATAAAAAAAACCCAGTATATATTAAAAGTGGCATGACTTAGGAGTTCTCTTGGTTATGAGTTTGGCCACAACATTTCTGACATTTGTAGCCCCTCATAAATTAAAAACTTTTGCTCAATTATTTTCAGGAGTTGTCACTTTTGTTCCCTATAACTTCATGGGTAGCCAATTAAAACCCATGCAAAACATGGGTCACTCCACTAGTTTAACATTAAAGTGGACAATTTATAATGTGAGTTGGTCTGATTTCTAATACTTTATTGGACCCAATTGGAGTGATTTCCAGTAGTTAACGGTGTTTCGGATTTCGCAATCAGGTACCCGATATTGGAATTGGTACCATCGGTTCCATGCGCGGTTCCGAAATTCCAAGAACCGGTGTAACCGATTTCGGTTCTGGTTCCAACATTTCAAGAACCGTCGGTTTTGGTTCTATGTAATTAGGGCGGGTACCCGTATATGCTCATCCCCAGTTATAAGGGAAGGCAAAAGATCACAACTTTTCTAGTTCATGAGGTGCATGGAGCATTCTAAACTGATCAAAAGACGTTGGAGTTTACTCAACTCCAATATCTCCCATAAAATGGATCAAAAGTGCTAAAACCTCCGAATTACAAGATCTAAAGAACTAGATAGTAAGATTGGAACTTTATACTTACAATAGTCTAGAAATGTAGTGTCTTTGATGGATCTAAACTTGAAGCATCATTCCTTGCAACCAAAAGAACCTTCTTAATCTTTAAAATTTATCAAAATAAGATAAAAAAAACATCCAAATAGGAGAGAAGAGAGAGAGAGAGAGAGAGAGAGAGGAAAATCTCAAATCTTGAAGGTGGAGGTCATGGTTTCTCACAAGGGATCCTAGAGGAGGTGGAGGTTGATAAAATGAACAAAAAATCGGAACCTTATGCTTAAATATGTTGAAAGCCCTAAAATCATGGGTTTAGGCCTGACTAATTGTCGTGTCGTGGCAACGCTTCGTCACGTTGTGCCGACGGCCGTGTCGTGGCCACAGTTTTCACGCAAATTCACATCAACTTCAAACAATCATAACTTTTTCGTTTCAACTCCGTTTTTTGGTGATCTTTATATCCACATAACGGTATTGACGAGCCCCACAGTTCCATCTTGTTACTTTTGGCTTAACACATGGCAAACTAAAAATCACAATCCATGTAAGAAGCCTAACATATAACTTTTCCCATTTTACCCTTTGGCTCCAAAACACTAACCGATGGCTTAGATCCCATAATCAG